ATTAAATATTGGGAAATAATTACGGTTCGCTAGCACAGGAGGCTAATCGGCCCGGGAATTATTAATTAATAATTAATGTATACGGAAAATTAATTTTAAAAATAAATTAATTAAATATGACGGTAATCAAATGTAAGAAAATAAATTAAATCAAAGTTTTCAGAACGCCCCTGTATCTTAGTCTCCACACTGGCAATTTTCGTCGATCAAAACGGTGTGTGAATTAATTTTATAGAAAACGTCGGGCTTCGTTCAATAATTAGTTGTTGACGGGAAACGGAATGATTCAAATATAATTGAATGAATAAACAAAAGAAAAAGAAATTTACATGAAGTGAGGCGTGAAAATTAATTTAGACATTTTTTTTGGGCCGTCGGGACAGAGGTCACTCTTAACCCGGGGACAGATCGAATCTTCGAAAAAGAAAATAACGGGCCAATTTTCCCCAAAAGTAATAAATAAAAAAAAAATGAAAACGGGTTGAACCTCTCACTTCAATGTTAACTGGGCGCTTCCTAAGAGAGATTGGATATAGTCGTCGAAAATGAGAGCACTCAGAGTCTAGCCTATATCCAGCCTCAAATAAAAAAATTGCCAACGGTTTCCCACTAAGGGATGAAATGAAATATCCTGGGTATGAATCAAAAATTGTTGAAAAACGGTAATTCCTGGGAAACAGAAATAAGGGGGATCTTCTACATGTCCTCAGGCGGGAATTAATTGAAATATACATTTTTAAATTAATTGAGAGCAAAATTTAGTGACTTCGTTACAATGTTTACTTATTGTCTTCTGCTTAATAACATTTCCTAAATCTATAGTTATTGTTTGTAACTTTGTACCTAATTCGATTTTTTCACAATTCTTGAAAATATATTGAGTTTGTGTACAAAGTTATAAACTTTCATTGCTAACAATTTTTTGATGTTACCGCTATGAAGACTAGAGACAAGGAGGCGAATCGGCATACTCGAAAAACGGTGTCAAAAAACGAACGCTAATTGAGCTTTTTTAATTCACCACAAGGGCGCTGGTGCTGGTACCGCTGTTCAAAATACATGGCTTCTTATGGGAATTTAAATAATTTTGTCAAAATAATAAAAATAAACTTATTTATTGCCAAATAAAGCACAGTATATAATGTTGTATTTATTTCTAAATAAGTCTCTCATGTTTTAATTGATAAATTTATTTAATTTTATCTATATAAAATGAAATTTAGATAGGTATGACCCGATTCGATAAGATTTGTTAAATTATGAAATTTGGTTAATACAATTTTGTGTCTAAATTTTTTTGAATTATACCTAAATATAGTAGTTAAAAGCAAAATAAAACAGTTAACAGATTTTTTTATTGTTATAATAGAAGCATAAAGGGAGATTTGGGAATGTATATGATATTGCCACATTCTTTAATTTCGGCTTTCCCCTTTTTATTTTGCTAACAGTACGATCAGTAAAAAGAGTCTCATATTTGGAAATATCTTCTGAAAAGTGTAGAACAGCATCATCTCTAGAAAGTGCTTTATCGGCCCTAGGAACGATATATATGCTGCCACTGTTCTAAGCGTTTAGAATCCTATAAAAAACATTTACAATGACAAAATTGGGATTCAACAAAAAAATAACAGTAGCAACTCTTTATCTAAAATTAAAACTCTATAAAAAAACAAGTAAGTTAAATTTAATATATAACTATTGTTATTTGTAAGTCAGAATCTATGACTGTAAAATTTAACTTGTAATAAAATAAACTACACTCCATAATACCTGTTGTGACTAGTTTATAATAAATATTATATTTAGATAAAAACACATTATTTTACTTACATTAGAAGCTTTAAAAAAACGTTGAATTGATTTCTCCTTGTGTTTTCTTTAGTTTTACATGTGATTTGTATCTTGTTTTACAATGTGTAACAAAGTAAATCTTGCTTTAATGTTTTTTTGTCACTCATGTTACTTGTACTCAGGTACTTTTTTCACATTATTTTGATTCTTTTCACCATTTTTTTAAAAAATCACTTCATTTAACATTGACTTATATAGAAAATAAACGTCAGTGACGATCGACCTGCCAACTACAGTCAATTTACCGAACTTTATAAAAAGGACACAAATTTGAAATTTGGTCATTGTCCCCTTATCTCTAGTCTTCATAGTTACCGCTAAAAATTGAAATTAAAGGAAATCTGCATTACCGGTAAATTTCTAATTTGTGCTTGTTGCCAAGCGCGTCTCCACAGTCAACGCAAATGGAACATGCTTCCAGAAATGTGTACTAGAATTGTTGCTTGGCAGGAACCGAGTAATAGAGTACAAAAATGATACTTACAGGAATCAACTAGTAATCAACAGGACGACGGTGGTAAGAAAACAATATACAATGCAAGAGTTGCAAAAATTGCTCAACGTGCTGCAGGAGCTGGTAGCTCAAATGGAAAAACACAAGGAAGGTAATTTAGATCACTCCAATTAACGGGATGGCGCTCATATCTGCATTATTTATTTAAGAAAAAGAATAAACATTTTATAATACAAAATCAAATAAATTTACAATGAGAAATTATTCTTAAAGTATGCACCTAGATGCAGAAACATCTTTATATGCAATAGAAATAGATTAAAACTACATACAATTAACAATACCTATAAACTAAACATTTGATGATTAAAAGGACATAAATATATAAGACTAGGTATTTATAACAAATTTGAGAGGTATACATATTTATCAAATATAAATTTTCTGATCGCTTTAGAAAAGGTTTTTATGTTTTTTATTTGTCTGATATTTTCACTTAAAGAGTTGTATACTTTTGGCCCAATTGAAGAAATGAATCTTTTATTTCCATCATATTTAAAGAATGGTACATTTAGCATTCTTCTCTTTTTTTACGGGTTTACAAAATTTTTATTTTTCAGTTTGAAATAGAACATACAGCTAGAGTGAAAGTATCTTACGTTTGGAATGGATTCGTTGTATAAGAGGGTTGTTGAAAACAAACGACTTTTATGATTTATTATCTTTAAGATATAATTTTGAATTATACTTAAAGGATGTAGGGCATTGTCATATAAACCATCCTATACAATTATGCCATATCTAATTAAGGATTCAATGAGAGCAATATATATCAAGTGTAATAACTTTTTATTTAGAATGTTACGAATTAATTTTCTTATTTTGTTTGTTAAGTACTGAACATGATCAGTCCATTTAAGATTTTTATCAACTATTATTCCCAAATATTTGGCATTTTCCACTTTGATGATGAATTTGGATTCTTCAATACAAATCTGTTTGCAGTTAGGTCTGTTAGCATCTGTGAGTGAGAATGCCATATATATCGAAATGACAGTTTTGACAGTCAGTTGTCAACTCAAGCAAAACTTCAAATCAAATTTCAAGAATTTGAAATGGCTGTTGCTGTTGCACTTGAAGGTGCATTGGATTTTGAATCACCTAAATATATTTTCACTATCTTCCAAATTTAAGCATTTTTTCCAAAGATTGGGTAAATGGGTTTCAGCAACACACAATAAAGCCCTCACAGAGATTGGTAGTGATATATTGAATATTATTATGCAATAGTCATTTTAGGGATAACCAAAAAAATTAGGAAAAAGCGTTTTATAAAAATGCAGTTCTTAATACTGTTTTGTGCCAATGGTAAGTAATATTGTAATGTGTGAATGTTCTAACAAAATGTTAAATAATTTAGACAACTTCAATTGTACTGTAAGTAAAATTAAGAATCATTTTCTCTTATATCAGCTTGTAACTCTTGTTCTTATTGTAACCTACTTACTTTTGAATTTTGAAGATTGTGAATATTTTTGTCTTGTAATCCTGTTCTTTAATTAGGTTTGCTGTTGAACAGTGTATTAAATAAATATTTATAAACTAGTTTTTGATTCAGTGTTGAAATAATATTAGTGTTATTTTAATTTCTTTTTGTTTTTTAACAAAGAAAATACCCTGTTGTACATCGCTGAAATCTGTGAGCCTCAGCCATCAACATTATAAATTTATTTAATGCCATTGACATTAAACAAAAAAAATGTACTCTTCAAGGGTCCAAATATGTCTGCAAGTTTAAGCTTGAAAGTTAGGCTTATCACAATGCCCAGAGGATGAATAGGAATATGAAAAACTACAAGTGGTGCACAAAAAAAATTATCTGATAAAGACTAGTGATCTCCATAACTATATGGAAAATTATATCCACAAATTCACTTTAATAGTAAGGACACTAAAAGAAGGATGCTTCAACTTCAATTTTATTAAACTTATTTGCCATTTCAAGTTGCAAAACTTTTATAAATGAATACTATACATGCTGATTTTGTTACAGAAAACATTTTTGATAGGTTTATTTTATAAATATTTAATTATTTAAATGGTGTAAATGCATATTTGTTCGAGTATTTCCATGTTAAAATAGCATTAATTAATAAAAAAAATTAAAAATAAAATAAATTGCAATTTATTTTAAGTATGAAATGAATGCAAAAATATAATGAAGTAGGTAAAATCAAATAAAAACAAATTGGCAAAATATTTGACTAGTCAAAATAAATCAATTTATTTTTTTGATTGATTTTCCTCATTGGGGCTCAGTGGTAGAGTCTCTGCCTGCAGATCCAAGGGTCCCAGATTAGAATTCCACCGTTGCCAAGGGATTTTTTCATTAAATTTAATTATTTAAAATTAATTCTGATGCTTTAGTACGATTTCCCACTTGACCATTTACTGTTGGGTTCTAATTAACAGTGCTGTTCCTAAAGTGGTGCAAGGAAACAGTAACAAGGCCTTTCTGTAATTGATCCCAAGATACCTGATCAAAAAATTGACCAATTATATATGAAATACCTAGTAGCATGGGAAATATTACCTGATGTAGGCTGGATCTTTATAATACCAGTTATAAAGACATTTTGATTAACCTAGGGATTCTTATTCATTTTTATTCATAAAATTACACTTTACTAACCTTTAATCACAACATTATTTTGCTTTGGATCTATTTGTAAGCTGTTCCGGTAAGCTTCTAATGCAGCATCCAACTTTCCTAACTTTTCCAAAGACTTTCCGAGTAGTAAATAACCTTCCGATGATTTTGGTTTAACGGCTAGATAAGAAGTCACATATCTGTACGCCTGATCATAGTCTCCAACATTGAAATACAGTTTTCCGAAAGAAAAACATCTTAAATTTCTCTGAAAATAAATTTCAATTAGTGCAAATAACAGCTAACAAAATATCAAACAACAAAAAAGAATTTAGAATTTATTTTATCAAAATGTATTAAAAATATTATTGAATGTTTAAAATAATTAATTTAAAACAAAATTATGGATAGTTTTTACGTTAAAATTTAAAAGCTACAGTTCAACTTACCTCAGTTTCATTATTAATTTTCTTTAAACAGTTACTAACGTGGCGATCAACTTCCAACTTGGATTTAAACATTTTCATGTAATAGTTTTTTATCTAAATACGAACGAATATGAACAAATAAAGTACAAATTGCATAAAAAATCACAAATGGACATTCGTAATGTTAAAAAAATTTTTGCTTTGCCAGAGAGATGCGTTTAACCTTCAACGAATCACACCGGGTGACAAGTGACAAATTTGGTTTGGATATTTGACAATGACAACATCGTTCGTTTGGAGACATGTGTGTGTGTTTGTTTGTTTGTTTGTTTGTTCTGCCTCAAATGGAATCATTAATTCCAGTATTCGATCTTTATTTGGAATTGAGATGGATACGCCGGATACGCCTTTTATAAAAAAAATGGCCGCAGATAATTAGACATCCCAACGACCTCTCAAAATGCAGCCAATGGGTAATGAAAATTTATAATATGGCAACACTGTGAGTCTGTTGTCTTTGATAGGGTCAATGGTGCATATATAGACTGCTCAAAGCGAGACGTTTTGCGAGCGTCCATTTTGCCTCGCAAGTGGTCATTATTTGCCGCGTTTGAGAATCCACATCGGATGCATTTTTTACATCTCGAGCGTTTTTTATCCACATCGGACACATCTGTCCCATTACATTTACGTATACTGAATCACGTGATCAAAGATTTACTACATCTCAGATGCATCCGATGTGGATTCTCAAACGCGGCAGATGTGAATTTTTTATCACGTGATAGAGAATTAGATCTGAATGTAGATGTAATAAACAAACGCTCTAGACTTTATTGGTTACGTGATAAAATGTCAATGAAAAGTTAGAAGTTTATACTTCATAAATTTGACTTTTGAGACTACAAATCAACCTAATCAACCTAAATTTGAAATTTAAAACAAACTAATCACTTTTATATTCATACTAGCATATAAACAAAGGATAAATTGACAAACTTGGCATAGAACGAACATCTCATTTCAAATCCAGATGTAAAAATTGTAATCTGGACAGGTGCATCTCGGATAAACAAACGCAGATGTAGATGTAGTAGATGTGTCCGATATGGATAAACAAACGCTCGAGATGTAAAAAATGCATCGGTTGTGGATATTCAAACTCGGCATATGTTTATTTTGAAAAACATAGATGATCAATCTATATTACTATCTATATCATTGACTTTGTCAATTCACAGGGTTGCCATTTTACAACCTGTCATTACCAAAGGGTGACAATTTAAGGTATTTTTCGCGACATAAACCAACATGAACGTTTATGATAGATTGTTATTTAGACGTCTATAGACGTATATAAACGTCTCAATAGCATAATCTATCATAAACGTTCATGTTGGTCATGCCGCGAAAAATACCTTTTTAGGTTGGAATGCCTTAATATTCTTGAATCTCAGGGAGTACAAATTTTGAGGGAAGGATGAGACTACAAATTTTGTGCGGTGTAGATAAAGAGAAACATTAATTTTCTATTTCCTCTAATTCAAGAATAGCTTGTTTGGAGTTAAAAGAGTTCATTGAACTTTGCTATCAATGAACTGGAGTTTTGCTATTCGAACTTACCTTGAGTAGAGTACTCTACTCTGTGCTGTTCTCGAGTTTTCAGTTTTGACCGTTTTGACAACGACAGCAAAATACGGAAAACCATTTTTGTGCTTAACTTGAATAACCGGTAAACCGCTTTAAATTCGTCTTTTATGTTCTTCCAGAGGAAACATTAGCCTGAAATTTTATATCATTAAAAAAAACAGATAAAAATATACGGTATAGGCGTTAATATAATTACAATGGATCAAATAAACGCCAAAGAAATGGAAAAAATTGTAAGAGGTAGTATATGCAATAACATTTCCACTTATTTATTTCCTGAAAATTTGAATTTTAGAAGCTGGCATGTACGAAGAAAACATGTCCAGGGAAGAAATTCTTACATTTTACGAAGCCATAACAAATTCGAAAACCACCGCTACAACAGAGGACGAGTCCAGAGAGTTTAATCAAAGCCAAATCGAGGAATTCGAAGAAATAGCACCGAGTGAGGATGAGGACAATTCAATAAGGAATAGTATTAAGGATGATGAAAGTAACGATGTCGAGCTCGAGATATTGGATGCCTGTAAAGCAAACATTACTTTCAATGATATGCAAAGTATGCCGAAAGAAAAATACTTACCAGTTCCTTATCATACTTTGAAATACGTAAATATACAAAATAGTAAACAGTTTCTGGAAGCAGACACTAACATAAAAGCAAAAATGCTTTACAGCTATCATACAAAAACAGAAAAATTAAGATCGGATTTATCAAAACAGTCGTTTTTCACTGTACCTTTACCCAAACCCATCATCATAAGAGACATGCAAATCTCTCAAGCGCCCTTTGATTCAGATGATGTATATACTTACATAAGTAGATCTGGACGTCAAACCAAGAGGAAGCTGTATAATGAAGATGAGGACAGTAATCCAGGTACGCTTACCACTAAGAAACAAAAAAATGTTGAAATTGAGTGGACTTCAAAATTGAAACCTTTATTAAAAGGATCAGCATCCAAAGGATATGATGTTCTACCAGAGGCCACCAAAACACACAATTCAAATAATAGTCAAAGTAAGTAGAGGTATAGAATTGAAATATTTTCTCATTTAGATATAATAAGTAACTTTATTTATCAAAGATAATATCATATAATTTAAAATAAACCAATATTTCAATATAAATATGAACTTCATAATTAAATCAAAATAAACATAAAACTTAACATAATTAATTGTCCTTCATACGTATAATAAAAAAAAAAGAGAAAAACAAAAGAATAAAAGAAACAGTGATGTAGGTATTTAACATAACAGATTGGTTAAAAGTATAACAAGTAAAAGAAAAGAGAAAAAGAACAATTTTCAACTACCTATATGTTAGCTCTTAATTTATATTTTTAAATGTGTGCGCCATGCCACTGACCAATGATGACTGAATGTTTTGGTCCAGACATACTGAGTAAGGAGTAGCATGAGTTGGCCATAAGTGGCAATCGCTGGTTGTATTCTGACAATAAAATGAGTTTAATTGAATTATCATGTTTAAATATAATTGAAAATGAGTCTTGAGTTATCTAATTTCGATTAACAAATAAATAAACTTAACATAGATAATTAATAAATTATTTTTAACATAAATAATAAGTTCTTTCTTAAATTGACTAGGATTCTGAACATTTTTAAAATTTTGAGGCAGATTATTGAATTGATCGATCCCTTTATGAAATATACTTTTATTAGTTGTTTGTATACAAAATTTAATAATAATAATAATAGTTTATTTGTCCTTTAGGACCATGTTACATGATATAGGATAAGTCATAATATATATAAATAAAAAATATTAAAATACAAATAAATATAGGTACAGTATACAAAAAATATATATATATATCTAAGACATGCACATTAAATATATACAATTAGAAAAACATTTACCTTAAAATATGGTGGTATTCAGATAAATTATAAAAACATGAATCTACTAAATAGTTTTTAAGTTTTCTTTTAAAAGGTTCATATTTATTTTCAGATTTAATGAAATCAGGGAGTTGATTAAAAAATTTAATTCCAACAAATTCAGGCGATTTCTCAAATAATGATGTTGAATGTCTTGGTGTTCTGAATAAATTTGCATTCCTAGTTGAGTATTCATGATAATTTGAATTTTGTAAAAGTTGGTGTATGTTGCGTTTAGCATATAGCAACGTTTTATAAATGTAAATACAGGGAAATGTTAATATTTTAAATTTTTTGAAGTTATATTTACAAGTTTGCATTAATTCTAAATTAAAAATAAGCCGGATTATTCTTTTCTGTAAGATAAATACTTTAGATGCATTGACTGCATCACCCCAAATGTTGTATGATATATGAGAATATGCTAAAGCATAGTAGACATTAAGCAATTGCTCTTGGGTAAATATTGATTTTAATTTTAGTATTGCATAGTATGTGCTGTTTAATTTTTTACAAACATTAGATATTTGGCTATCCCAACCCATATTGCTATCAATATGTATGCCCAAAAATTTTGTAACATCTGAGAGCATAATTTCTGCATTATTGACATTTATTTTACAATTCTGGGTAATTTGATTTCTGGAGTAGAACTGAAGGCAAACGGTTTTGTTTGAATTATCAATTAAAGAATTTCTATAACACCATGATGTAAACTCATTAGATAAAACATTTAATTTACAAATTAATTCATCTACTGATTGTGCATTGGTGGCAATTGTTGTGTCATCTGCATATAAAATTATATTTTCTGAGTTAATATGATTAGGCATATCATTTATGTAGCATAGAAAAATTAGAGGTCCTAAAATTGATCCCTGAGGCACACCCATATCAACACTTTCTAGTTCAGATTTACAATTTCCGACTTTGACATAGATCTGTCTGTTATTTATATAAGATGACAACCAAGACAAAAAGTTACCTCTAAAACCAAGCCCTTCCAATTTTTGAATAGCGACATCTAAGTTGATTGAATCAAACGCCTTTGAGAAATCATAGAAAAGCGCACCCACAAACAACTTTTGATTGATAGAAGTATGTATGAAATTAAAAAGATCTATTGCTGCACTTTCAGTAGATTTTTCTGGAAGGAATCCATTTTGATTTTTGCATATTATTTCATATTTTTTAAGAATTATTAGCATTTTTTTATGGACACACTTTTCAAAGATTTTGCTTAAGATTGTAGGCACTGTAATAGGTCTATAATTATCAATTAAATTATTATCACCTTTTTTAAAGATAGGAGTTACATGTCCTACTTTCAGATAATCTGGGAAAATACCTAGCTGAATAGACTGATTGATTAAGTCTGCTAGAATTTGAGAGATGTGATGACTAATACGTTTTATTATCTTTGTGGAAATGCAGTCAATGCCCATAGAGTTAACATTTTTTAATGAGTGAATAACTTCAATTACATCACGATGATCAACAGGAGAGAAGTAAAAGGTCTGAGAGACACATGACACACTAACATTTTTAAAATTCAAATTATTGAAATGAGACTGTAGTGCTTTTTTTGTGGAGGTGGCAAATTGCTCTGCAAAAACTTTAGCTATTTGTTTTGGTTCAATAATTGACAGTCCTCCTACTTCAAGTTGTTTAATTTGAGAACTTTTAATAATAATAATAATAGTTTATTTAGAAAAGATACAAATTAATACCTACCAAAAATATATATATAAAATATAAATAATAACAATAATAAAGAGGTGGGTGGCTCAGTGATAGAGTCTCTGCCTGCGGATCCAAGAGTCCCAGGTTCGAATCCCACCCTTGACTGGGATTTTTTTATTTAATTTAATTATTTAAAATTAATTCTGATGCCTTTGTAGGATTCCCCACTTGACCATTCACAGTTGGGTTCTAATTAACAGTGCTGCTCCTAAAGTGGCGCTGGGAAACAGTAACAAAGCCTATTCAGAACACGAAGCTAATGGCCTTAGTAGTCGATGCCGATGACACCAAATTAAAAAAAAAACAATAATAATAATAATATTAACAATCGTTAAATTTACTATGTTTAAAGAACATTAAATTATATCTTTGAATAAACATGTGTGTGAATTCATCCAAAAGAAGCCAAAAAGACTATGCATGGATGAATATATTTTCATGATTTTTATACATAAAATTAACTTAGCTATTTTAACTTACATGTTATTAAAAATTAGTAAAAACACGTGACAGTAAAAAAGAACATTAGAGGAGCATTGGAGCAAAACCGAATAAATCCACTTTTTATGAAAATTAAGTTAGAGACAGATTTCAACTTACTTTGTTAAATTACATCTTTATAGACTACCTGTCCGAGCAAAACCGAATAAATATTTGTAAAATTAATGTGTTTGTGCAAAACCGAATAAATCCACTAGTAAAGTGGTGTAAACAACACATCAGCATTCGCTGTAGTTTAAAAGCAGTTTGTAAGAGATATTTCTTTATTTTCATTTGTTTTTCCTCTTATATTAGTGCGGGTAGTTTTGAATTTTGATTTGGGTAAAACTGAATAAATCATTTTTTTTGTCATATTTTTAACAAAAATTATTTTTCAAAATTATAATTGCAGGGGGTGTATTATTTATGATGCCTCCAATATTATTGTTTTCACCAAACAAACGAAAAACCAGTACTTTTTGTCTATTTGGAAAATCGTGTTTTCCCAAAAATCGTTTATAGTGGATTTATTCGGTTTTGCCCCAAAGCTCCTCACTGAGGCCAAAATTAAAAATATAATAAATATTTATTAGACACTTAACAAGTGGTGAACATTTTCTCTTCCTAAGTTTATAATGTATGTTTTAAAACGTTTTTTAATGAATTCTAATGAGTTTATATTGAGAAGGTACATTTTATATGATTCAGGGAGACTATTGAATACTTTACTCATTTGGTGTGAATATGTTTGGATACTAACATTTTTTCTTAAAAATTGTGTCTGTACATTAAGATTTTCTCTATATCTTGTTTTGTGATGGTGATTTACAAGTTGTAAATATTTTTTTCCTACGACCACTTAGGAAAGTGACACATATCACACTATATAGTCCTATGGAAAGTGCCCTATATCCTAGATCAGTGGTTGCCAACCTATCGATCGCGAGCTACCGGTAGCTCGCGGAGGCAATTCTGGTAGCTCTCACAACGATTTTAATTTAAAAAATACAAACTGCAAAAATCAGAGAAGCTTCCGAAAATTCCACAAAAAAATCTAATTGTCATAATATTAAACATAAACAGCGGCAACGTTGCGGTGAGCGATCTGCCGCTGACGCCATCAAGCTAGAATCGGCTAGAACCGACCAGCCGGACCAGCGCGTTAGTGTTCGAGAACGAACGGGATATTGCGCTTAGTTTAAAACTGAACGGGTAACCAACGTCCAGCGGTTGGGTTAGTAGAGAACAACAAAAAATAATATTACGGCAAGCAGTTGTAAGAAGGTAAAGACTTTCATTCGGAAAGGGAAGAACAATACTTTTTTACAGAAGTTAAAGATAAAAATGTGTGTTTGTTATGTAATACTTCGGTCTCCGTTGCTAAAAAAGAAAATATTGAGAGACATCATAAAACTGTACATTCTAATTTTGAAAAATAATTCCCACTACATTCTGCCGCCAGAAAGGAGAAACTGAAACAGTTAAAAAGCAGTTAATTGGACAACAATCAATATTTTTAAGAACAGTCGACAAAAATAAGGCTGCAACTGAAGCATCGTACCGTGTGTCCCAGATAATCACAAAAAAAGAAACCTTATGAAGACGGGGAAATGATAAAACAGGCGTTTTTAGAAGCTGCTGATTCGTTATTTGCCAACTTTAGAAATAAAGACGAGATAGTTTCAGCTATAAAATCTATGCAACTTTCCGCTAATACAGTGATGAGGCGTGTAGAAGTAATGAACAATGATATTGTTTACAGTTAAGAACTGACTTAGATAACTGTGTTTATTTTTCACTTCAACTGGACGAATCAACAGATGTCGTTGATACTGCCCAGATGGCCGTGTTCGTCAGGATGGTTTTTAGTGATTTTACGATTAAAGAAGATCTTTTGAAGTTTATTCCACTGAAAGGACACACTACTGGACAGGAGTTGTTTTCTCATTTAAAAAATATTATTTCTTCCGAGAAAATTCCAATATCGAAAATGGTAGGCTTGACAACCGATGGCGCTTCAGCTAAGGTGGGTTGTGATATGGGTCTGGTGGCGTTATGTCGTAAAGATGAAACTTTTCCGCAATTTCTCTGTTACCACTGTATTATCCATCAGCAAGCATTATGTGGAAATTTCCTGAAACTAAACAACGTTATGAAACTGGTAATAAAAATTGTGAACAAGATTAGAGCTCAAGCGTTACAAAGAAGATTATTCAAAACCTTGGCCGATGAAGTTGACTGTCAATACGGGGACCTACTCGTTCACTCTGAAGTCCGATGGTTAAGTAGAGGACGGGTGCTGAAACGTTTTAATGATGTCCTATCTGGCATAGTTCAATTTTTCAAACAACGCGATAAACCGACTCCGGAACTAGAAAATTCAATCTAGCTTAGAGATTTTGGTTTTCTCGTGGACATTACAGAGAAATTAAACGAACTTAATTTGCAGCTTCAGGGGAGAGACAAAGAACTAGCGGAAATGATTTATGATATAAAAGCATTTATCAAAAAGCTGGAGTTTTGGGAACAAAACCTAATTAACAGCGATGCCAAGCATTTTCCTATTCTTTCAGAAAAAATATCTCAAAATCCATTAGAACCCTATGACAGCAAATATCATGTAGAAATAGTTTCTACCCTAAAGAATAACTTCAAAAATCGTTTTAAGGATTTCAACGAAATGGCTTTAGTAGCGCAGTTTGTTGTTTCGCCCTTTATGGAAATTGATATCCAACAGTTTGCAACTTGTGTTATGCAGAACTTTGGCGAAGACATCGCTGCAACAGAAATGGAAGTAATTGAGTTTCAAAATGATTTAGCCTTAAAATCGTTAGTCTCAAGTACCAAATGTATCTGGCCTATTGTAAGTAAAGACAAATATTCAGTTCTATGCCGTGTTGCCTTGAAAGTGAAAGCATTATTCAGTTCAATCTATTTGTGTGAATCTTCTTTTTCCAATATGAAGTTTATTAAGAACAAATATCGCATTCGACTTACAGATGAACATTTGGATAATTGTATTCGAATGGCTGTATCAAATTATACTGCAAACATTAAAAAAATTATCGATGAGTCTGAGTGTCAGCCTTCTCATTGAACGTGCTTTTTTATTTTTCAATGTTTATGTTCATGATAGTGCGTTACTTTTTTGTTGTTATTATTAACTATTTTTAAATCTTACGTGACATGCCGTTGTGGCTGGATAACAGATTGTGTTTATTTTTCAAACACCTTCGTTTGGTAGGTAGGAATGTAGCAATGAACAAGTACGTACTAGTAATATTAGTTATTTTGTTATTAGTACCTATGTATTATGTATTACCAGTTAAATAGTAAAATAAATACATATAATAAATTAACTGTGGATTATTTCATTTACGTTGCGTTACGTGGCTTCCGTATGGGTAGCTCGCTGTTTATTCCAAAATTAACAAAGTAGCTCAACACATTGAGAGGTTGGCGAACACTGATATAGGGTGTGCCAGCATCCTCGTATACGATGTTACATCTCTGGTCTCTTTGGCTAAAGACCTGCGACTTTATAACTGTTAAAAAATTAATTTTTGTCCAATCATGCATAATGTATGAACATTTGAAACAATTTTGAATAAGATGATGTACTGTTATTGCTTAAGTCATATTTTAAAAGAAATATTTAATCAAAATTTATTTTTTTATGTATTTATTTCAATTTATCTTGATTTCAAGTCATGGCCACTACTCCAAAAAGTACCGCAAACAGAACGAAGAAATTCACAAATACGGAAATAATGGAGAAGTCTAAATTGTTTGAGGACTTGCCTCCTAAAGTTGGTACACCGACGAGCACAAAAGCGACAGAAATTTTTTTGAAAACTATTCCAAAATCCAAAAGACTTACAAGATCAGAAGAGATGTTTGAAAAAATGGTCAGAGATACTGAAAAAAATCAGCAAGAAAAAAACGCTTTGGAGGCTTTTGAAGAAAGTCTTGAAGTCTCTGATGAGGAAACCTTTAAAAAGAATGAACCAGAAGGCGAAGATGTTATTAATATTATGGATGATGAACCAGCGAGAAGAAGAATCGTCCCGCCTATTCCACCTTTGAAGAGAAGAACTATACATAGTACTAGTAACAGTAAACAAAACTATTTTATTCTTTTTTTATTTATTTATTAATATTATTTTGTTATTACAGGTACTGGTCCGTTAAACGAAACCGCAGAATCTAGTAAGAAGGATAATTGTTTATCCAAGAAAAAGAGAAAGCCTAAAAACGAATCTTCTAAACCTAGTGGATATGCGGATTCTAAAAATAATGATGATGAATCTGATGTATCTTGCCCAATGTGTAACAATAATTTTCCAATGAACAAGATTCAGGTATGTTAACGTCAAGCAGGGTGGCGGAAATATTTTATGTAAATTAAAATATTGTCGCTTGCATAGATTTTCTACTTAACCGTGTTGGTTATCACTAAAAAGTTTGCATTTTTCGAAAAAAGTTAAAATTCTATTTTACACATGGCTATTTCAAATAAGAGAACTTTATTATAAGAATCTTTTAAAGCGATTTCTGTTTCTATTCCCAAGTTCGAAGTATTTATCTTAGGTGCGATGTTGTGTTTAAACCCTTTTTATATTAGAGATTGTTCTGGATCAGAGAAATTTGTGGTAGTTAAGTTAACAAATCTTTTAAAAAATGTATGATCAGATATTTTACATACAATTACATACAATAAATAATAGTTCATCTCATCCATACAAACAAAAGCTGGCAACATTCAACAGTATAATCCATAGATTAGTTAATATCCCTCTTACCAAAGAGAACTTCACAAAAGAATTAAATATCATTAAACAAATCGCAGTAAACAATAATTTTAATTCAAAGTTAGAAGACAACATTTTAGAGAAAAATCTTTTTAAACATGCTATTCAACAAGTTTATCCCATAATTAAAGATCAAAATTGCAGATATAAGACTCTTGCATATACAGTGAGCACCATAAGTCTTACCCCCCCTATCTAACTCGTTACTGGAGTCTTGTTAGGAAAATCGCCGAGACACGTCGATTTTTGATTTCTACAATGTACATTTTTGTATGAATAGTTTACCCTTAATTTCATCCCTTACTGGAGGGGAGCAACCCTTTCGAAAAATTTAAATGGCATGGGGTGGTAAATGATAGCTCATTTGAAAGAGGGTTTTATTCTCTATTCAACCGTGTAAAAAAAATTGAAATTTGCTTCATTAATTCTCGACTAATTGTTGTTTCAGAATAACGGAAATTAACATAGCGCACTCATCCTTAGAATTAAAATTCGGCCCTGCATGATTTCGGTTTTGGTTCAGACGTGAAGTAAGACTTTGCCATTAGAAGGTCACTGTTAGTCTAGTTGCTTTCCTATTTTGTGAGGTTTTGTTATTTTTAAACATTAATAAATCAACACGTAATGAAGCAAATTTCAAATTTTTTTGCACGGTTGAATAGAGAATAAAACCCCCTTTCAAATGAGCTATCACTCACCACCCCATGCCATTTAAATTTTTCGAAAGGGTTGCTACCCTCCAGTAAGGGATAACTAATCATGCAAAAATGTACATTGTAAAAATCAAAAATCGACCTGTCTAGGCGATTTTCCTAACAAGACCCCAGTAACGAGTTTGTTAGGGGGGGTAAGACTTATGATGTGCTCACTGTATAGGAGCTCCTAGTGAAAAGGTATCATCATATTTAAAAAACCAAAATATTAACGTAACTTTTAAAACCAATAATACGCCTGGGAAGTATATTAAAAACAATAAAGGAAAAATTAATCCTAATATTAAATCGGGGGTATATAAATTAAATTGTGGTAGTTGTCCAAAATTGTATATTGGTCAAACAGGCTGTACTTTCAAAACGCGCTATTCCGAACATTATAATAGCTATACAAAAAACAAAAATAATTCTACTTACTCAAATCATATTTTAGCTGAAAATCATTCTTTTACAGACAACTTTGAAATTTTACATATAGAAAATAAGGGCATTAAACTAAACCATTTAGACACACTTGAAATAAATAGATTTTTAAAATTCAGATAAATGATCAATTAGACATTAATAACTCACCTTTATTAAATCTCTTTCCTAGTTTTCTGTGAGATAATCCCGGTAAAGTTACTATCTTATTGTTATCTGATTGATGTCATAATTACTTAACCCTTAACTACCATGGTGAAAATCTGTAACTTTTACACCATGGCAGGGTTAAATTTGACCACCTAATTTTTTTTGCCCTTATTGTTTTTCTTTTTTTTTATATTTGACCTGTCTTAAAGCAAAAAAAAATTAAATACATAGTTTATGCAAAAATTTTAATAGGTAAAAAAATTAACATATTCTTTATATTTTTACAAAAAATATATATATTTATAGTTGCTTATGAAGGTTGCCTAGTAGTTTTGGTGATTTTTGGCTCCTCCCTATAACAATAAAAACCCATATTGTTTTTTTGTTTAAAAAATGACAGACATGTTTTAGACCTCACCTGTCAATGCTGCTATGTTCACTTTCTTGGTTAGAAAATTCTTCATCACTATCTAATTCGTGGTCCATAGTCTTTTGAGCTTCTTGTTCAAGCTCTTGTTGTGTTAAAGGCTTTTTATCACGATAACAACCGGTCATTTTTCACTGTTACCGCAACTCGATTTTGTAACACTTAAAACATGAGCGGGTCAAATTTGACCCTACATGCCGATAACTCCTTGGAGACTAAATCTTAACTAAAGGCGTTCCAGCGCATCGATAGACCAGCAACCGATTAATAATTAAATGGAGGAGGACCTACCGCTTTCAATTCTTTACATGCAACATTTACCGTGCAAAATGTGTAGGGTCAAATATAACCCCGCCATGGTACTTACCCAGACAGCACACCAAATCCTTTGGATATCTATTGAACATCTCAATATCCACTGAATGTCCAGTCTATGGTGGATATCCATTTTATATCCATGAGAAGTAATTTATAGTCATGCAAATGTCCATAAATAATAGTAATTATATAGCAAATTATTAAAAAATTAATTGTGGCTAATAGTACCGTTCATATATTTAAAATTAATTTTTTTAAGGTGTATTCAATATCCCATGTACATCCACTAAATAATCAAAGTCTAGGCGCGAATGCAAACCATCGTGGATATCCACTAGATGTAATTTTTGATTTTGCTTACTAAGTATAGATGGCGATACCACTTTCGCATCTACTCATGCTTAACCCGCCGTAATTGAGTTTGATCGAAATTTGTTTCCCAATCAGACTCCATTAGAGACTGGAGTCGAGAATTTCCATGTATTGCTGAAGAGTCCTAATAAGGATGAGTTTCTCCTTAGTGGGCAAAATCAAAGTGTTTAAAATATTTTTTCTCTGCTATTTTCTTTCGACGTTATTCAATAATCATTGGTTACTCATGAACCTCTACTAAAGATACCCATAAAATATTTTGCTGAATATCCGAATTCTTCTATATCCTGGGATATAGATGGACATTTGGTTGGATATCCACAAAACATATTCTGTGGATATATCTGCCCAGACAACACACCAAATCCCAGAGATATCCACAGAATATCTTTTGTGGATATCCAATATATCCATAGGATATCAGAAATATTCCGTAGATCTAATATGGATATCCAAATGTCCGTCTATATCCAGAATATAGAAGATATCATATGGATATCCAGCAAAATATTTAATGAGTATCTTCCAGACAATACAAGAAATCCCAGAGATATCCACAGAATATATTCTGTGGATATCCAATATGGATATCCAGGATATAGAAGAATTCGGATATTCAGCAAAATATTTTATAGGTATCTTTAGTAGAGGTTTATAAGTAACCGAAAGAAAATAGCAGAGATAAAAAATATTTTCAACATTCAAAATATTTTCAACACTCTGCCTTTGATTTTGCCCACTAAGGAGAAAGTTATCCTTCTTAGGACTCTTCAGCAATAAATGGAAATTCTCGACTCCAGTCTCTAATGGAGTCTGATTGTGAAACAAATTTCGATCGAACTCAATTACGGCGGGTTGAGCATGAGTAGATGCGAAAGTAGTATCGCCATCTATACTTAGTAAGCAAAATCAAAAATTACATCTAGTAGATATCCACGATGGTTTTCGTTCGCGCCTAGACTTTGATATATTTAGTGGATGTCCATGGGATATTGAATACACCTTAAAAAAATTAATTTTAAATATCTGAACGGTACTATTAACCACAATGGCGAGCACAATGGCGTAATTTTTTTAATAATTTGCTATATAATTACTATTATTTATGGACATTTGCATGTCTATAAATTACTTCTCATGGATATCCACCATAGACTGGACATTCAGTGGATATTGAGATGTTCAGTAAATATCCAAAGGATTTGGTGTGCTGTCTGGGTGGGATTTCTCGTATTGTCTGGAAGATACCCATTAGATATTTTGCTGGATAATCCATAGGATAACTTCTATATTCTGGATATAGACGGACATTTGGATATCCATATTAGATCCACGGACTATTTCTGATATCCTGTGGATATATTGGATATCCACAAAAGATATTCTGTGGATATCTCTGGGATTTGGTGTGTTGTCTGGGTGGGAATATACCTCTTGGTCGCCGCGGTCAGTTTTACCCAAATTTAATCCTTTCGCTATTCGAAAGGTATAGGCCACTTGGTCTCCAAACCTGGATTAAGGGTTCCAAGAAAATTATGGGGTTATTTAATTACTCTAATTATAATATCGGTTTGTGACCTGTCGAGAACTAAAATAAAAATATTTTTCATCAGTTAATTGTCTGCATTCTTACTGAAATGATTAATTTTTTTATTTTAAAAGTGATTCTCATCTTATTCATTATTCCATAAAAGAAGTTTTGAGTTTGTGTTGCAATGGAGTCGATGTTAAGTGTAAAAGGAAAAAAGTTGTTAATTGTAAAAAAATATACATTTGGAAAAGACAAGGAAACAAAGTTAGGTGTATCATATAAGTGTACTCGTCGTGGGTGTAAAGCGACTATTGGAGTGGACGATTCGGAAACTGTCTTATTGAAATCTAAGAGTGAACACAATCATCCACCATCGGACCATTTAAATGTAAAAAAACTTCAAAACGGATTGAAAAGAAAGGCAACAGAGGATATTTGCGTTAAACCCAGTAAGTTAATTAATAACGGAATCCGAGGGGAAGGAAATACTTTTAATGTATCCACTACGGATGTTGACCTCATCAGACGAAGCATATACAGGGCAAGAAGAAGTATATTGCCACCTTTGCCAAAGCGTATCAGTGATGTTCATAGTGTACTGAAAGCAATACAATGTGTTACAAATAAGGGTGAACAATTTTTATTGTGTTCTCGTGATAGTATTTATTGCGACGGCACATTTAATTATTGCCCTAAATTTTTTTTACAATTTTTCACTATACATGCTGTTGATAACGGACACTACATACCATTGGCATTTTTTGTTTTACCAGATAAAAGAGCAAGTACCTATGCAACTGCATTTAAATTATTAAAAGATTACTGTTATAATAATTTAAATTTAGATTGGAAGCTGTGTAAAGTTATTTGCGATTTTGAGAAAGCCATACACACTGGTATTATACAGATTTGGCCTGATATCTTAATTATTGGATGTAGATTTCATTTAACCCAATCGTGGTTACGTAAGATACAAAATCTGGGTTTGATTTCCGAATATAAAAATGAAAATTCTGAAATCGGCAAATGGCTTCATTACACTTTCGGCATTTTATTTTTGGAAAGTACTGATGTGGCAGAGTGTTTTTGTAAAGATTTAATTCCAATAATGCCATTTGACGAGAGATTAACTTCATATACTCTTTATATGATTAATACGTATACTAGCGATACGTCTGACTTCCCGCCTACAATGTGGGCATCGTGCACAAGTTCCACAGAACGCACAACAAATGCTTGTGAGTCTTTCCACAAACATTTTAATTCTGCTTTTTATTCGGCGCATCCCGATATATTCAAATTTGTTAATGTAATTCTCGATATTCAGTTAAATACTTATGTGAAATTAAACAGTACACATATACCTAACAAAATTAAAAACGCTAATTACAAAAAACGGCATGCGTATTTAACGAACGTAATAGAACAATATAAAAATAAGATCCTTTCACGAACTCAATTTATCAAAGTAGTTTCTTATCATTACAAAAACTAATTGCAATTTGGGTTTCTTAAATAATTTTTATTTGGTATTTTGTGTATTTTGTACCTACTTTTTTTTATTATGTATAATTTTATATTGTTTTCTATTAATTATAAGTTTTTTTTTAATTTGGTTTTATTCTTTTCCTGACCCACATTCTGTACCATATCATATCAGTTAAAAATTTCTATTCACGTGGAAAATAATAAAAATCAGTTAAACTATTTTTTTCTTAAAAATATTATTTTCAATAAATCGAAATAGATACCTTTAATGATTGATAACTACGGCGACCAAGAGGCCTACCTGATTTTAAAACTGGAGACCAAGTGGTCGATGAGATTACGGAACCCCGCTGACAAAACTAACCGCGGCGACCAAGTGGCCAACACCCGTCTGGGTAAGGGTTAAGTACCCTTATTTACTTTAAATAGTCAGTTTATTTTGTTATTGATGTATTTTCTTAATTACTTTGTTTGGTTAAATTACTTTGCATATATATTGGACACCGAATTGTAAATTAGTCACATTTGAAAAAGAAGTTGTACTTCGAAACATGTCATGTGTAGTGTTTTTAATTTTTTTTTAATAAAAGTTTTGTGAAAATCTACCAAATTTGGTTTTACTTATTTAAGATAATATGGATTTTCATCAAGGCCGAAAACAATAAATAATTCTAATAAATAACGTTTCATTTTTTTAGGCGCATGCCGCCACCTGTGGAGAGGAAGAAACCGTCTCGAAATATCAAACTCGGCGAAACTTGTTGTGCAACATTTGCGATAAGGTGTTTGTATCTAATTACGAGGAGCACGTAAAGAGCTGCATAAGTCGCTATCAGGATAAAATCTAATATTTTTTTTTACTTATACTTGTTTTTGTTAAATAATATACTTTATGAACATATTGATATGTAATTATTGTTAAATTTGTATATTTTTTTTACATAAATGCAAATTTATAAACTGCTTTTTTATTATCCCCCCTTTAATTCTTCAACCATTATCCTTAATATAGCACCGACTTGAATTCCCTCGAAATAAATGTAAAAAATAAAACAATTCATCACAATGACTTACATTTATTGCGAATGAAATTAGTAAAGAAAAATACAGTATAAAATAGACAAAAATGAATTCTAATGTAACACAAATTAAAATGATTAGTCAAAAGAAATATCATTTTTTTTTTCACATCCGACAATAAAAAAAAAGTAAAAACTGTTTTACTTTAAACGTGATTATTCTTATACTTGTTGGATCTAACGTCTGTCTCTCGAGTCAGATCTGCCTCTAGAATCTCGACTTCTAGAACGGGACCTTGGACTTCTAGATCGTCTCGGTGACCTCGACCTAAAACATTTCAAATTTGCTTTTTGTTATTGATATTCGTCAATATGAAGAGCACGATTCTACCTTTGTATTTGCTATTTTGTCACTTCCTCGAATTTTCTATTTTAGATGGACTTTTTGTCAACGACCTTACAATTTTTAACCCTCTGATGCATGATATAGGTAGTTTTTGATCAAAATTTGAGTTTTTCAGACTTCCACTTTCGATAATTTTGATAAAAATAAATGGGGAATTTATATTTTCTTTTATTTAAGAAACTGATAGATCGTTACATATAATAGGTTTCAGTTATTATTTTTTTTTTATTCATATCCGATTTCGAGAAAAAAATATAATAAAACTTTCTAATTTGACATGACGAGTCATCAAAAAAAAATCATAATTGGGATTGGCTGTAAAATTTGATGGTTGGGTTGGTAGTTTAGCCACTTCCGTAGAATGACATTTATTACGTGACATTTTCATTGTAAACAAATAATTCACTTAATAACAATCATAATTTACATAAATTGTTGATTACTTCTAAACACAATCCAGCAAAAACTTTATACATTTGCACTAAGTTGTTAATTTCTTCACACTTTTCTCAGTCTTTTCATATATGTTTAAATCGTAAGACCTAATTGGATATGGGATTTCAATGTTGCTCGTTATTATTCTATCATCAAAAAATCCTCCAATATATTGCCATTTGTGCTGTTGCCCTATCTTTTTAGAAATACTCATCCAATTGATTTATGAATGGGCTGAGTACTCATTGTTTAGCTCTTGTATTTTCTTTTTATGTTAAATCTGGCAACGATGTTGCATACCAGAGAAAATGCTTTCAGAATTGTTAAATAACTATATACACATACTTGTTTGATACATTCTTTAGAATCATTTCATATATTGATGTAACTTGTCCCCCCCTTGTCAGAAAAAAAATAGTTAAAAACAATACATCAAGGCAATGGGTAAACAAAAACATTATACATACAGGTAATGATCTTAAAAAATTGTATTGGCTTATTAAAACCTGCGACAGCTCAGAATTGTTAAGAAATTACAAATCTAAAAAAAAAGATTATGTTCAATTAATAAATGTAACTAAAAAGCATTATCAAAAATTGTTAGAAAACAAAAATCCTCAACAAAAAAAAAATATATGGAATACAGTACACTCTATACCTGGCAAAAGCAAATCTATTGCCGCGTCTGAGAATCCACATCGGATGCATCCGAGATGTAGTAAATCTTTGATCACGTGATTCAGTATACGTAAATGTAATGGGACAGACGTGTCCGATGTGGAAAAACAAACGCTCGAGATGTACAAAATACATCGGATGTGGATTTTCAAACGCGACATATAAAGCCAATACAGATATGTCGTCAACAAATAGGAAACGCGGTAGTATAAAAACAAGACTCACATGTTTTGAAAGGTATTTAGAGTTGTTAGTTTTAGATGAACACCTAGAAGCGGAGTTCATTGCGCGAAATAATTTTGATTCAAAATTAAATAAACAATTATCTTTAGCAAAAGTAATTTTAATTGATCATAACAGTAAATTGTTTGCTGTGGCAGGTTTGGATGAAAATTCGTATATAAGTCAAACTGCTAGTGCTACAAATCATGTAAGTTTTGGGTTAAAACCTGAGTTTTCTAGCATTCCGTTACAGATTTGATGTGTCTCTTGAAAATTGGATAGAATTCAGAGATGTTTTTGAATCTTTGGTATACAATAACAAAAAAAATGTAGCTAATTTTTTTGCTATTTTTCAACCATAGCTAATAACACTGTTAGAGATAATTTTGACAATACAAATTTTCATAACTACACAACCATGTATGTAAAAAATACATTCTGTGATTGAACAGATTCCCAAGAAGTAACTGCAATCATTAGTTCTTTAAAAAATACTAATGCAATGGGTGTAGATTGTATTACAACTAAAATAAATTTATTGGTCATTATATAACAGAACCAACTGCATATCTAATCAATGACAGAATCTGCGCCTAGTCACAGTCTGACTGGTCACTGTCGAGTACGGAAGCATCTCCATATCATGGGGCTGTCAGAATCCTCACTCTGCAGAGGGTGCAAACAAGAAGATAAGACTATCGAGCATATCCTTTACAATTGCTTGACGCTCTTATTTATTAGAATTTGTGTTCGGCGAGTATCGGCTAACACCGGCTGATACAAGAAAAGCACCTCTTGACGACGTTGTCAACTACATTAAATCTGTAGGCTGGTCCAAGAGCTAGGAGGTGCCTATCATCTTAGGAGGATTCACAATGGACCTAGTGAGAAAAAGGTTAGTTGGTGAGCTCTTTTTTGATCTATCTAAAGCTTTTGACACAATTGATATCTCAATTATTATTGGCAAATTAAGTGCTTTAGGTTTTAGGGGTAACTTTGTAATGGATTAATTCTTATATAGACACATCACCAAAATTATTGGACTCCCTTATGTTTGTCAAAATGAGACTATTATTATAAGTTAAGAAGTGTATTTCATACTACATTTAATTTGGTTATGTATCCAATGCAAATTGGCTGAATCAAATTTTAATTGAACAAGAAAAAAAATACAAAAATAGTGCATATTAAAATTATTATCAGAATTTGAAATATAGAGACGAAAACCTCTTTAGGACACAATCAAAGATGCATTAATATTCGGTGTGGTCTCCCCTGTTCTATAGTAAGGTGTTAACTCGCCTGTGCATGGAAACAATATGAGCGATAATTGTATCCATTGGGATGTTGTTCCATTCTTCTTAGGTAGCGACTGTGAGTTCCTGGAGGGTGATAGGAGGATTAATTCTGTTTGAGATTGCTCGTCCAATGAAATATCACATGTGCTCAATGAGATTCATGTCTGGTGAATTTACTGGCCACGATAATCTTTGAATATTCTGAATCTCTAATGCATTTTGTACTCTGCTCTTGCGATGGGGCCTAGCATTGTCTTCCACGAAAATGAAATTGATTCCAATTTCATTTCGGAAAGGATAAATAATGGGTTCAATAATGTTTAGAACATATATATCCCTGTTATAGTGTCTGGAATGGGAATGCTTACGACGACCATGCATTATGCCTTCCCAAAACATTACTGTTCCTCCTTGGTATAGAACGACTTCTCTGGGACAATATAGTATTTCTGGTCGTTCTGGCCCTCTCCAAACTTTTTGACGCCTACTATCACTAATTAAACCAAAACTGGTTTCGTCTCAAAAAAGATATTTCGCCATTGAGCTACAAGCCATTCTCTGTGTTCCTGTGCCCACTGTAGGCAAAAGGCTATGTCTGGGAAGTAACCTGGGTACTTTTAATGGTCTCCTAGATCGCAAATTGGGTCCAGCAAGTCTCCGCCGTATTATGTTACTGGAAACGAATCGACCATACGTTCTTCTAAAATGAATTCAGACAGCTGACACTGTTAATGTTCGATTCCGACGTATATAACCTGCTACATACCGATCTTTTCTTGCATTAGTTACCCTAGGATGCCCAGTTTCACAACTCCAGTCAACGATGTTAGTTTCCTGGTACAAACGCACTATTCGGATAACTGAAGCGCGAGGAATCCCTAGTCTATCCGCGATTCGATGATTTGGCAGACCATCATCATGCAAAGCCACTATTCTTGCTTTATTGAACACTGAAATTCTATTGCCAGGCATAATTGCAAAAAAAACTCAACAAACACTTAAACATGCTAAATTGGTATGGACCATTTTTTGAACATTGGTATCTAAAATTATTGGAAATTGTTTTTGTAAACATTTTTAGATGCGTAGCAACGGTGAAAATAAAGATTAAATGTACAAAAAAAAACAGCCATGATAAATATTTTGTTTTAACATTTACGAGAAGGTCCAAGAATTTTGGCGATGTCTGTAGATTCTAGTAAAATCTGGTTGCTTATCTGAAGTAAAGGACATGGATCGCGGTGTTCCTCAGGGATCAGTATTGAGTCCACTCACATTTCTCCTTTACTTAAACGACTTGCCTAACTTCATCTCATCTAGTCACATTTCAATATATGTAGACGATATCAATGTTGCTGTCGATGGAATCACCTGTGGAATTTCATTCCAAATTGTCTCTTGTTGCTAGAGAATTTACTGCATGGTGTAAAAGAAATGCATTAATTGTAAACGCCAACAAAACAGTACTTGTTCAGTTCCATTCTATCAAGAATAAGTACAGATTTTTTAATACAAATAAATAATGATTTTATCCCTCTGTCCATGAAAACAATATTCCAAGGAGTTCTTATAGATGCAGATATGAGCTGGAGTTCCAATACTGACTCCGTTTGCGTAGTATTAAATAGTGTGTATTATGCAATTCTCCAATTAAAGAATATGTTAGCCACCAGACAGCTTCAAGTTTACTATGAGATGGCATATTCACATTTACCTTACAATATATCGTCGGTACAATGCCAAAACCATGAATGTGCTAATTTGAAATTTTTCGCCTAAGTACTTTACCGGAAGTTTTAACATTGAAAGCTAACAATGTCAAAGTCAGGACTGTTTAAGAGTTTAACCCTCTTCTACGACCGATGTCTAGTTTCAGAAAGTAAGAATTTAGCAGTTGCTTCAATTCCTGAGGCTCGAAAGACCACTTTCTCAAAACTGAAAATTTTGCACATTCGTGGTTTTGGCATTGTACCGACGATATTACTTTGGGGAAATGCGACCGGTACGCTAAGAGTCTTAATTTGTCAAAAAAGACTAATAAGATTAATTTTTAACCTAGATGTTAGAAGTACCTGTAGAGATCTTTTCAAAAGATATAATATACTGACTTTTCCAGCAATATACCGGGTGTTCAAATTAAAGTGTTACAGTTAAATACCGCCGAAAATATGCATTTTAGAAAAAAAAGTTTCAGACAAAAGTTTTATAGTTTTTTTGGGGAAACATTTTGGCTAAATTCATTTTTTTATAGCTGACCATAATATGACCACATCGAGGTGAACTTTGTTT